GCAATGACTCATCCCCAGGCAGACGTGACAGAAGCTGTGGGTGCCTCTTTCTTTGGAAGTCAGGGAAACCAGGAAGCTCCTCTAGGCAGTGTGACCGTCCATCTCTGAAGGACTGTGCTTTCTTTTTCTAATGTGAGCCTGTTGTATTTATCATTGATTCTCCGTGCAGAAGGATATGTGTAATGGTAACCACACTAGATTGTGCTTATTTTTGTAGGCCATTGCTTTCAGTGAGCCTTGAGATCTAAACCCTTGAAGGAAAGGAATCTGTAATACAACTCAGGTTGTTATTTAGCAGTATATGAATTGTTGCTGGAATAATAAAAGAGCTAATGGTGATGACTTAATTGAGCTTACAAAATTTTATATATGCATATGAAGAGAGATACTCACATATAATTTTACTCCCAGCTTCTCATGGCATTGTAAGAGCCCTGATTTAACTTGCATATAAAATAAATTATTTTATTATGATCGCTAAGCAAGTGTGGTTCGAATATGTGTGTGTACATAGAATCCATTTGTCCAGAGACCTCAGAATGAATGTCCTCATCCCTTTGAGAAGGAAATATTAGAATTTCCATTTCTATTTATTTTTATCTTAGTGTTCTTTTGTTTATATTTTGCACAAATTTTAAATGCCGTAAATGCATAGATTTTTAAAATTATACAATTTGGGGCACTGATAAAGTGATGTAGAATCAAAATAATTGGAAGGTTAGTCCTTTAGACACAGGAGGTTTTCGAAATTCACAAGATAAAAAGATATATCATTTGGGGGAGTTTACCCTAAAATACTTGATAAAAATCTTGCAACTGAATAGACAGAATGTTCAGAATATTCGTGTCTGCGTAAGTTTGAAGATCATTCGTCCATCTTAGAGCCTTAGTGAAACAAATCCTTCTGAAGTTGAACAGAAGAGAAATTCTTGGAGAAGTAGTCGAATGCTGAAAGGCCTGGGTCTGTAAAGAAATGGGTTGGCTCCATTTGGTTTTCATCCTTCCTCTGAGCTTTATCTTGCAAGTCTTAATTAAGTATTGAAGGAGACCAGTAACTTCCAGCTCACCATGGGGCGGTGTCAATTCTTTTATTTTGGTGTATAGTCTAATAGAATTTTTTTTTTTTTTTTTTTTTGGTACCAGGCACTGAGTTCAGGGACACTTGGCCACTGAGCATCACATCCCCAGCCCTATTTTTATTTTATTTAGAGTCAGGGTCTCACTGAGTTCCTTAGCGCCTCACCGTTGCTGAGTCTGACTTTGAACTTGCCATCCTCCTGTCTCAGCCTCCAGAGCTGCTGGGATTACAGGCGTACGCCACTGTGCCTGGCTTAGTAGAAGCTTTTGAATGTACTCCTTTCTGTGATTTGCTTACGCAACAACATTTTTGATGATTGCTGGCACAAAGTCAATGAAATACAGGAAAACAAAATTCACACACATTTGAACCCGAACTCAGCACTCATTCTCTCCTCTCTGATGTTCCCAGCATTCATTCAATCACATTTTCTCAAGTTCCTGGGTCTCTGACTCTTCCGTCTGCCTCGTTTCCTCCAGAGTCAGGCCTGTTGATGTTCCTGCAGGTCGCAGATCCTTTGCTTCTTTCCCCTTGGTTGGGTCCTCATTGATTTTCTTTTAGAGCATCATAATAACATTTCAACTTGTTTCTGGGGCCCTTCCCTTTTTTCTACTAGTCCCATACTCCTACAATTCCCTCAAACAGATTCATATTTCTATTTTCCGATTTTGGACATAATGCTCTCTTGCTCTAAGCTGTTTTGCTTTTCCACTCCTTCACAGAATAAGTACAGACTCTCTAAACGAACATAAACGACCCTCCACAATGCAAAGAGGATCCTTACCGGGTGTTTTGTAATGTGGATGATACATAATAATGAGAGATATTAAATGTCTGTTAAAAAAATGGGCATTTCTTAGGTTTAAGTGAAAGGCAGTTATTTAATGAAAGTTTATAATGCTATACGAATTAACATCTCGGGTCTTTTTGCTCAAGACATTGAAGACTCCTAAATCTTAGTGGATTCAGATTAATCAGCAGATAGGCAGTCTCCTGCTTTGCCGGTGAGTCTTCGATCAGAGCCCCACCACAAGGTCATGAGCGCAGCCTCTCCAGGACCCTGCCGGCTCTCACATCTGCAGGTCCCAAAGCTGTGCCTTGAGCCACCTTGGCCCTTTGTGAGTCACTCCTCTCATGGGGACCTTTCTCTACCACGCAGCATGTTAATTTGCATATTACCACAGCCCTCTTTTTCACAACCTGAGAGCTGACTCCTAGAAGACACCTTTTCCATTCCTCTGGCTAAGCCCTCGTTGTGCGCTGGCTTGTGATCAATGAATCTCAAGATTTGACTGATTGATTTCAGTTTCAACACCACTGCTGTTATTCTTGCTGGGGCAGGGCAGGGCTATTTCTTCGAATGTAATGTTACATGGAAATCCATAGAAGAAGAAGATAAAATGGACTGATTCTAGTTGGAAAGGGAGTGATTGTTATGTGCCTCTCAAATATCCTCTCTCCTGCTGCCCCTTGCTGACTCTACAGAACACCTGTGGCTCTGCTCAATTGTGTCTGGAAATGACAGTATTCAGTTTATATGTCACAGCTAAGCAGGGGCCTTTTACTCTCACCCCCCAGTTGTTGGCCAGAGTCTTAAATTGATGCTTGGGATGAACACTCTGTCAGAGAAGAGGACATGAAGCTGCTAATGGTGAATGTGGCTGTCACACAATGGCATTGTCATCGGTTGCCAAATTTCACCCCTGGTAAATACCATCCTCTCTGTTGGAAATAACGAAATTGAAGGGAAGGGAGTTAAATGGGCAACAATGGGATTTTCAATGATAAATAACTTAGAAATGCAGTATATACAGGTTTCCCCCTACTCTCTTGCCTTTTAAAAGAAAAATAGTGATATATGAGAGAAAGAGAGAGAGAGAGAGAGAGAGCGCTGACATTTTGCAAGAATTCAGGAGGAAAGAGAGCAGTTCATAGATTGATTTGGGGCAAGGTATTCTGTTGTGTTCTGAAAGGGTTGGGTCACCACAGTGACAGGACAAAGCAGACCCAGATCGAAACTGGCCACGAGGGAAGAGATGGGTCTGCCCGGGGGCGGCTCTGTGAGTGTGGGGAAGGCTTCCTCCCTCTCTCTCTCCTTCTTTGTTTTTATTTATTTATTTTTCCTTTTAAAAATAACAAAGTAGGGAATTTTTCTTGAATTCTCATCTGTAGAGATTCCAAATTCTGTTTATCTGCAGCTATAAAGACTCAGATTAAAGACAAACATGCTCTTGATAAGATTGGCCTTTCCAGGAAAGTGAGAGGAGAGAAAAGGGAACTGGAAGGAGAACTGGATGGTGTTTGCCTTTGGGGTGTAAAAATGAAGGAAGACGCAGGTTCTTACCAAGGGTAGGATTCTGACTGTTCTGGTCCTCTGCGGGGATACTGCACTCAGTGTCTATTTCCTTTTCCTTATCCTTCCTTCTTCTCTTTCCTTCTCTTCCACTCTGTCTTTGTATCTCAGCCCATCGGGATGTTGAAGGGATGCCCCCCGTTGTCTGTTGCTAGAAGTGCCCACAGGAGCCCTGCCCCTGCAGCAGAAGCAGCCTGGCAGCAGCAAGCCTTGGACGGATGGCGGGGGAGAGGACTGGCCCATTTGCCCCTGTGAGTGGCAACTGGACAACCCTCACCGCTCACCTCTCTCCGGACCCAGTGAATGGAAGCCTAGGTATTGGGGGAGGCCCACCCCAGTGCCTGGTAGAGAATGTTGGTAATGCTGACTCTAAGACGATTGTTGATCGGATCCTTACTCATTAGGCTTAGGAGAAGGGAAGAATGGCATCTCCTCCTCTGTGAATGTCTGCTAATGAATCCGGCTTTCTGATCTGCTCTGTTGCTGCATGGACGGAGGAGAGAACTTAAGACCCCAGGGAGGGGTCAGCAGTGGTGCAGGATGACTGCCACTCCACTGCTTGGAGCAGTTCTGGTGCATGCATGCCCTCTGAGTTCACTGGCAGATAGCTGACCTTGACTTTAGGGTGAAGGACAAGCAACGGCAGAGGCTGTAACGAACACTACAGATGGCGGAGCCGTGGGGAGCACAGGAGAATCAAGTCTGAGTATTTCTCTGATAAATACACTAAAGAGTGAAGTGTCCCCTTTGGCGGGTGTCTTGGGAATCACAAGCATGCCTCACAAGAGAGACACCTGTCCCTCAGGGAATTCGAGCCCCTGTCAGCCATGAGAAATCCATGGCAGCCCCTCATAGGTCAGTGATTTCAGAACATTTCCATTTCTCCTGGTCCTCTATCCCATTCCACCGTATCCCCCAGGGGAATGGAGACCCAGAAGGAGAGGATGAAACCTTACAGGAACAGACCATACCTGCTGTCCCTGCTGTGTCCCTTGAGCCACTATAGAGGGAAGGGAAAGTATTAATAATTCAAAGAGGAGATGGAGTTGAAACTTGAGTGGACCTGTTAGGCCCTGAGTGACCGGAACATATATATGTGTCCAAGATGATGCTGAGGGGGTGGGAATTCAGTGGAATATGGGTGAAGACAGCTGTTAGAGGAATTTGAAGCCATTTCACATTTGTATCCTAACAATTTTTAGACCGTTCAGTAAATCTCATGCTATTTAGGGCCACGGCTGTCACCTAGTACTTACGCTGTCTGTCATAACACTGTGAAAGTTAGCTCAAAGAACGTGGCTGGCCTTCGTAAAGATCCTGACAATTCAATCTTCTTTCTCACAGGACTAGAATGCGTAATAGTAATCTGACTAGGGCTCTAATAACTTGACCCACATTTATTGGCTGTGATTCTTGCCGGTCGTCTTATTTGCAAGACTAGCTTTTGTTATTTGTGATGAATTTTGACAGAAGCTTCTCAATGGTAGAGAGAGATTTTCTTTTGATTTTTGTATTAGAGGGAGAAAAAAAAAACTTTGACATATTGACTTTTTCAGATTATGACATTTCTAAAGATTCAGCTTTTATTTTTTTGAGAAGGAACCCATACACCCAAGCATGCATTAAAGTGCTCGACAACTAACAGAAGCTTGCCAAGGGATGGATCTTTAAGAACCATCTCAGAAGTGGAGTCAGCAGTTGCTGTCGTAGACGATCCGGCACTTGAGGAGCTTGAGGTAATTGTCAATCTTATGGGAATCCCGGCGCAGGCAGTGGAGCAGATTATAAAAAGCAAAGAGGCGAGAGTCTTCGTCCTCCATCTGCAGGGAAGGAAGGCCCGACCAGACAGAGTAGATCTCGTTTTCTTTGACTCCAGGATGGACCTAACCACCAAGAAAGGCACTTATTATTTCACATGATTAGAGTTTGCTGATCCTCAGTCTTTCTAATTATTAAATTAAGATTTAGGGAAGACATCAGAATATAAATCCAAAGGCATAGATTCTGGTTTTTATGTATCTGAGCGAAGGCACCATACATTTAGTAGTCATCTAAAAACTCAAAGCAGAACATGTGTGTGAGTTTTAAAGGGGTCACAGATGAAGTCTTCCTGCAGGAGCAGACAGACAGAGAGCCAGAAGGAGTACCTTGAAGGTAGGCATGGAGTTGAGCCCAGGACAATGGAGGAGCTGGCTTCTGTTCTCTCATTTGAAGAACGTCTACATTCCTGAATCTGCCCCCATGTGTCCTTTGTACCGGATTTCTTTTGATAGTGTCTTGCTTTGAACTGAATCTGTTCTCCATACGTGCGTGTTCCAAAGCCCTAGGCGCGACGTGGGTGGTACTCACTGCTTGAAGGTGTGGCCAGCTCAGTGATGACTGTGACTAAGAGGATCTGCTGGTAGTCTTTCCTTCTGCCAGGGAAGCTACCTTCCAGGCTTCTAGGGGGGACAGCGGCTGCCTTTCCAGCTCCCTGGTGGGAGGTGCTGGGAGGAGCAGCTAGGAGCGGGCAGGTGCTGAGGGACAGCTGTCCCTCAGTGGTGCTGGTGAGTCGGGCTGGGGCAAGACTGGGATCACAGAACAAGCTCAACAGCAGAGAGAGGGAGCGTGTGCTCCTTTGTGCTCCTGTGCACTCTGGGACTCCCCAGAGACCTTGGAGCCCAAGGGGCCATCCCAGCACCTTTAAGGATGTCAGCTGACCTGGAGACCAGCTAGTACACAGTCCCGTGATTACAGACCTGATCTGCTGAGCTCACTCCTATAATGTGAGGATATTTTAAAATCTGGATTCCTATGAGAACTTAGTGTGTGTGAGTGTGTGTGTGTGTGAGTGTGTGTGTGTGTGTGTGTGTGAGTGAGTGTGTGTGTGTGTGTGTGTGTGTCTGTTGCCTTATGCTTTTTACCTTGAACTTTCGGTGCTTGAGCCCGAAGACATAATTTACTGTGCAAGGTACAAGGATATGAACAAGAATAAATAAATAAATGGTAGGAAAAAGGGATCAGAAAATGAAGTATTATAGAATAAATTAGTGACCTCAGGAAGTAGGCTCATGGTAATGAGGAAAATAACTTGAAATCAAGGTGTTTATTTCCTATGTTCCTGGGTTAATATGTTCCTTGTATTTGTGTTGGATATATTCTCCTTCCATGAAAATGACAGAAATGACACATGATAACGTGTACTTAGTACACAAAAAGAAAAATATAAAATTGCTTCTGTTATTATCTCTATAATCATATGTTTTTCTTTAGATGATACATTATTTCTGAGAACTTCAGAGAGCGGCTTAGCTGCTATCTCACCAGGGTTGAAATGATTCTATCTGAATGGAGATACATATTGAAAATACTCATTCGATCTGAGTATGAAGTCATTTGGGGAGATTAAATGCAATGATATGAGTTTTGATTTAGGATCCATAAGCAATAAAATATTTAGAGGGAAGCAAGTTTCTTTAAACTATAAAATAAGGAACTTTCCAGAAACACACACTCTTCCATTTGGTGGCACCTGAGATCTAGAGCTCAGGGGACAGCACAGACCCGTGGCCTTGTCTTTTCACTCTCCTTGGGCAGCGTGGGGTGGAGGGGACTCCTCCCTCTGGTTTTGATTTTCTCTTTTCTCCTTCCCTACACTAATCCTCCGATGTGAGGAGAAACGAGAAAGAATGGTTTCTCTCACCAATTCTATTCTCTGGTTTTCTTTCCCTTGAAAATATTTAGCCACCAGTCCAGAAGGGAAGCGCCCTTGGTGGGTGGTGGACAGGACAGGGGACTCTGCACCTGCCAAGTATCAGGAGGGATCCCCTAGGCTCTGTTACAGTGGAGTCTGACATGACCAGTGAGGAGGAGCTGGCTTTCTTTGATGGCCGTCTAGAAAAAGAACACCCAAGTTTTGTTTCTGCCAAGTGAGGTGCTTGAAAACTCGTTTCCCACCAGGGAGGCCACTTCCCTCACGAAGGAGAACAGCAGAGGCACCCGGGGGCTGCTTACCTGGCCCACTATCTTCTCCATGCCCTCCAGAAGACGCTTGTTCTGCTCCTCGATCTCTATGGCTTTCGACAGGATGGCGTCCGGCGCCTCGTGCATGCCCCGCACTTCTGACACCAGGTGGTACAGAGGGTCGTTCCAGGAGCGCAGCACCCGAAGGACCAGGTTCAGCAGGTCTTCGTGCTGAGGAGCCACGTGGAAGGACCCGTTAGAAGCAGCAGAGATCAGCAGGGCTGCTTAATGGGGTCTCTGCTCAGAAAGGCCGCACTACAGAACCTCTTGGTTATTCTTGTGTGTATGTCCAATTTTGGGGTAAATGATAAAAATTATAGAAAAGTAAAATTTAAGTCAAGGGCCTAGACTGCACTAAAGTAAAACAAAAACTAGTTGATTTGAGTGACAACTTTTTCCAAGGAGAGTTCTCATTGGTAACGTTTTTGTTTACCCTCTGGAATCCCGCCATCCATCTACCCACTCAGTCTGACCTCTCATATTTGATTGCTTTGCTTCTCCATGGGGAGGAGCCGGGCTTTGCTGGAAATCAGTAGGCACTCACGGGACCCGCCTTGGGAAAGCTAGATTCCACCAGGATCCATGACAAGTGACATGGATCATTGTCACCCAAGGGTTCACTCGCACTAATGTTTGTTCATTAACATACCAGTGATTTTTAGGTTCATTTTGGGATACTGGAGCCAAGAGACCGCAAACACAACATGGCGCTCCCAGTGCGCCTCCCTGGCTCTGCACAACTCCCTGCCCCTTGCCTCGGGCAGAGCAGCCTGTGGGGGGCCAGTGGTATCCTCAAACAGCAGATGGAAGTCCCAGTGGAGCTTTATCCCCCAGTTTATGCTGAATAGTAGGATCATGGGTAAGATGTAAAACACTTGCTGTGTTGGTGTCTGCAGCTGCTCTAGTGGTCAGGAAGAGCAAGAGTCCAGTGGGCGTGGCACTGGAAACAGGGACAGGAGAGGAGCAGAACGCACATCGTGCGCTCTGTGAAGTGCTGGCACGGGTAGCCTCAGCCAGCGTTCCCTGTCCCTCCTCCTCTTCCTCTTATTAGGGTCATGGTCATTAATGAGCGCAGCAGACAGACAGAATACCCAGGCCACTAGGAAGATCATGGAGGGAGAACAGAGGTGCTGTGTGTGAGGGGTGGACCCAGGATGATGTTTGCTTTAAAACATGTTCAGGCTGTGGTTCTGACAGGGGATCAGAACAGAGCCATCCTGACCATCACAGGCAGAGCTGGGACAGACGCCTGGGGCCGGACAGGTAGACACCGCTGTCATCAACCCAGGTCAGAGCCAGTGACATCGGTGAGAAACCTGATATCCTGTTTGATGGGACCTGCGTGGTGGAGCGAGTCTCACTGAAGACATAGGGAGGGCAGGGGAGTCAGTGACGAGGAAGGAGGTTTTAGAGAAGCCAAAGCAGAGCAGAGGGGAGTCTAGAAGGTCCAGGAGAGAGGATTCCAATCACGCAGTGGTCAGGGACGTCAAAGGCTCCAGAGGAGGGGTCTCAAGTGACAGATAGTAAATAGAATTGCCTTTGCGTCTCTTTGTTGTGTACATGAGTGGATATTTACCAAGCGTGGCCAGTTCAGTCTCCACAGTCTAGCATCTGTAATCCTACACGGTCAAAATAATGTCATCCGCACGGACGATACCCCCCACCCTAAGTCCTTGGGTAGCCTTGGACTTTGCTTACAGTTTATCAACTGCATTCTGACAATTTTCCTTGGCTCTCTCTTCCTCGTTTTTCTCTGTGCCTGTGGTCACCATTACCCCCTGACGGTGCCCCTGAGGCCCTGAGGCACGGCCATGTGTGTCCGGCCTCCGTGGCTCAAGCACAAGGCCAGCTGAGGACTCACGTGGATCTGCTGGGCTTGCTCCTTGTCTTCAGGGGTGGAGAGGGAGGAGGTGTGGCAGCTGTTGATGGCCTTGGTGATAAACCCTCGGCCCTGGGCGTACCGTTTGTCCTGGAGAGGACGCAGGAGATCCAATTAGTTGGTGTTTGAGAATTGAACAAATGAATCCATTACCAGAATATTAAGACATTTGGTAGACATGTAATTAAAAGATGTTAGCTGCATAAAAATGGAACGTGAAGTGCTAACCCTTTGCCCACTCTTTTCCATTAGCTCTGAATCTCACGTTTTCCATCTCCCTTTCCTACCACCTTTATGACTTTATGCTATATCACCCTTCCTTCCCTCCTCCCTACAAGTTATAATTTGGAAAACGAACATTAACATAGCCAGTCTAGAATCTATGAGGTGTTTTTTACCACCACCTTCCTTGGGTATTTGAGTCAAATGCCAACGTTGCTTATGTATCTAAGTTCAGTCATTTAATCTCTTATTTCCTGTGAGTCCACACGGGTCTTCTTTCCTTGGATAGGTGTTATGAAATATGGATTCTCTTCCAGCTGCATCTGAATCCCCACACCCTCACTTCACCAAGTGCATCAGGAATTCAGAGAACTTTTGTGGATTGTCAAAACAATGGATCATAAAAATACAGGGCATATAAATCGAAGAAATTTTGTGCCATGGAATGAGAATACAACAAGGAAAAAATAGAGAGATCAATATTTATTATTTAAAACTTGTGTTTAACAAAAATTGGGAAAGTTTAAAGGGAATACGAGGAAGAGTGGGAAGAGAAATGGAGAATGACAGAAAATATAGTGCCCGGCAAGAAGAGTGTGCAGGAACGTTACGGACCCTGAGCCACATGCTCTAAGGAGGACCTTTGTTGTATGGAAGCGCCATCGTCCACACCTGGGCTGGCCCAGGAGAGGGTCAGCCAGGGGCCTTCATCAAGGACAGAGAACCTGTTTCCATTTCTAACCCAGCCCTAGAGTTTTTCAGTTTCTGAAAAGCTATTTTGACCCCTCCCCTCCCATCAGGATGGATCCAGTCTCTCTTGATTAGACCTATCCACTCACATCCTGCTGTGCAGCTACTCACTGGGCGTCTTCAGGGTGCTGAGTGAAGAAGACCCAGGCAAACTGACCTCTCTGTGCAAGGAGAAGAAATCGGCACTGTTCCTGAGCCCCGCCTAGCAGGACTTTATATCAGTTTGTTCAGATTTTTAAAAACCTCTAATAAAAAAAAATAAGGTGGAATAAAGTTGTAAAAGGTCACTACGTTCTTTGAGACTTTTTGAGATTCCACGAGACTTTCCCTTCCTCCTGTCCCATGTTTTCTTGGATGGTGCCTCTCTGAGCTCGAACGTGATGCTCTCTGAAATTTGGCTGGCAAGGTTTTCCGGGTGAGCGGTAGAACAGCCCAGTGGTTGGCGTGAAGGCTGCCCTGGGGAGAGGCAGGAGGTGAGGTACTTACAAATTCATTGAACATTTCCGAGGAGAGGTTATGGATGTAGTGAGACAGGATGACTGCACGGTCAAACAGGTCTCGGAGGGACACCTGGCAGTTGACAGCCCCGCTGGGACAGATGGGCAGGGAGGCCACATTCTTGCACAGGAGGTTTGACACCAGCAACAGGAGGAGGGACCCTGCTTAGATAGGAACACAAGCCGCTCTTAGGAGTGTGCTCGGCTGGGGTTATCACAGGCGATCCTGCCAAGGGAAGGCCCCTCGCCCCCTGTCCCCCGCTGCTTGGTTGGGTGGGGAGCATCCACCCGTCCACTGTGCACACTTAGATGCCAAGTTATCTCTGCAGATAGGCAGAATTGGAGAAGGGCGTGGCTTCCTGCATTTTTGTCTTCCTGCCAGAGGCCCTTTGGGCTCTGCAAACATTTGGAGCTTCAATTAATTCTGAGCCCGGATGTCAAAGTCATTCTCTTAAGAGAGTTTAATGTCTCCGGAGTTCCTGCAAATTCTCTGCAGACTCTCCTGGAGTTTGTAATTTTTTAGCTCAATGTCTGATCTCTGCACTGGGGACAAGACTAGCATAGATCACTTTTCGTCTTCATGCCTGGTAGGAATAAACAGGCAGTTGCTTGAGCACTAGTACTGAGCCCGAGGAGCATCCCATCATGATGGGGACACCATGGCCTGGGCTCCCGTCCTCATCCTGACAATCCCACGCCTTGGCTTCATGCTTGGCCAAAGCTTCAACTATTTCTTTTTCTAAATTTGAGTTTTACAATTGCCTGTGAATAGTCTGAGCCTCTGTAATTGTCATCAAATTATACTAATGAGACAGCTTAGAGAGGTTAAGTGACTTTCCCCAAGTCCTGTTATTAGCAGGTGGGGGAGACAGGCACCAATACTGTGCAGTCTTTGCACTTCACCTTGTCACACGATACGCACCTGTGAGCTCTCCACCTGCACCTGTGCAGCAGCAGCCACCCTAGCAGCATGAGGCAGTGTTGGCAGAGGTAGCTGCTCCTTATAAAGAACAACTCTTTTCCTTTGGCTGCGTGAGTGCAGATTCCCCGGGAAGCTGGGTTTTCATCCACTCTCCCTGCTCTAGGAAACTCTCATTTTAAAAATCTTTGACCAGGTTCAGTTGTGGTTTCAGACCAATTTACTGTCTCAGCAGACAGACAGACAGATTCAGACCTCTGAGATATCAATAATTTACACTCTCCAAAGGAAAGAACCGGCATGAAGCCACCACATTAAAATCACCTCGAACTTCAGTGACACTACTCCAAAAGAATCTGATATAAATATGCATTTCTCAGAAAACTAAGTTCCACAGAATCTTTGAGCAGTGCAGTTGGAAACATCCAACATAAACATCCAACATAAATCCGAGGCAAATGTCAAGGATTTACCTAAGTAAAAGTACCTAAACACAAGTACCTTAAACACTAACCACACCCCAAACATTGTTTGGTATAAAATATAACTAGGCAAGCTTTTAGCTGCACAGAATCAAAGTAATATTGTGAAATGGTTCATAATATGGACTTTTAACTTCCCAAACATATGACGCTTCCAAAACTTTATTTTATGCATGTTGTAGTACATAGTGTGGCCAAATGGATATTTTATCTCTATGGGTGAGTGGAATGTTCTGTGCACACAGAGAAATTGGAATAGCAGTTCTAGGAAATGGATACTTGGATAGACGTTCTGAGTGCATTTATCTACACATTTTTCATCTGAGAGATTGTTGAAGTCAAAGATGAGGTCAAATCTATATTTTTGTTCATTTTATAAACACATTTTAGGATCGTTCTAAATTATTTTTTCTGCAAATGTCACCAAGAAAGAAAAGTGATTAGTTTGTACTGCCCCACTTTTCCTTTAGAAAAGCCATTTGGCTTGAGCCAGATAGACAAGGCTGAATAAGACATGCATCTGCTGTCCTCGTGCATGTGACAGTGTCAGAGAGGAAGGCCACAGAGGGGCTGGTTCAAGGTGGCCAGTCCCCATGAGGGCTCAGGGGCCGTGCAACGCTGGCCTTGCCTGCAGGAGTTGAGGTGAGTTGGGCGACTGGGGTGCACTGACTCAGTCTTATTTTCAACACCAGCAATATTGGGCTTTGAGCTGCATGAGCCCTTTCATGGGGGCTGTCCCATGCTTTGCAGGACCTTAGGATCCCGCTAGCCACAGGTGCACCTCCCCTGGCCTCTGGCACCTCAGTGAAGACCATACCAAAGGTCTCCTGCCATTGCCAAATGTCCCCAAGAGAAAGGGGGATTCGATGCCTCCATTTCTGAGCCACTGGTTTATCCTTTGTGTCCTGTACAGATAGTTGTTCCCTAGGTCAATGGTCAGATAGTTCTTCCAAGTCTATAAGCCCGAACCTCCCGCTCTCAGCCAAATTGCACACTCACCCCACAGGTGTGATGGTAAAGCCCCAAACCGAGTGATCTGCTGCACATACCTCTCCATGGTGACCGCTTGCTGTCCATGGTGGTGACCCTTGCAGAGATGCACTTATCCAGGGGACACCTGGCAGTCCACAGCATTCTCTGCCATGGGCCTGGGCTTTATAAACCTTTGACATCTTCATGAATATATTTAATCAGGCACCCTCCTCCCTTTTCCGGGCCATCCATTTCCGTCATTGAGATTACCTCCATAATTTCAAACATCAAATGGTATTCTATTTCTTATTCATATTCAGGAAGACAAACTGGCTAGAAATGAAGGATTTTGATTAATTAGACCAAAAGGAAATGAGAGAAATGATGAAGGTGAGATCAGGAGACTAGTTTGGGTTAGAGGACCTGTAAAGCGATAGAAGTCATTTACTTGAAAAGTCACCTGCTTCTCTCTGCAGTTTCTTGAACGTATATATTATAGTTCACTCAGGAAATACTTTCACATATCATGAAATTATAAAATTTCTCACTCAAGATTGCCAGGTGAATTAAACGTTTCAAAATGTATTCAGTAAATAGCAGGAGATAAGGATTGAAAAGTTAGGATTTTCAGTTTTCCATTATATTTTGATTGAATTTCCTCTTTTTTTTCTTGTTTTTATGCATTGTTGTCTTCTTTCAAAAATGACACATCTGTGTGAAACTTTATTTTAGAATATGTATTTTCATCTGCTCATTGCTTTTGATTTTAACATATATGTAGAGTTGTATTATTATCTCCAGCTTACAGATTGGAAAATGGCTTGGAGAGACTCAATACAAAGGATACAGAAGGAATTCTAGAGTCAAGGGAAGGGTTATTGCATCACTTGGAATTGGGAAGGACCTGAAGAACACAGTAAAGTCTAAATCACTCAGCCTTTACTGGTGTGCACCCATGTCTAGGATGAACACCGTCTCTCTCCTGACCCTCAGGAGTTTATTTTGGGAGGTAAACATGGTAGTTTTTTAAGGGCAAACCCACACCCATGCACACAGGCTTTCACACTTAGCCTGGTTCACGATGCAAAAAACCAACGTTTTGGCCAATTATTTCCACTCTCTCCAAGGAGAGAGGTGGATCAACTGTTATTAACTTATGATCAATCTACCTTCTCTGACCCCACGTCTCTCTAGGACAAGGTGACCAGCATGCATCTTTCATGGGCTCAAAAGCTCCATTCACCTTTTAGAGATTTCCTGAATGAAGTGTCATAATGAATAAGGAGGAACTGGTTGATGGCTGCCTTTAATTCTTGAGCCCATGCATCTGCAGCCGTCTGTGACCTTAGCTCCAGGTGTGCTGTCTCTGAAGTAGGCTGATGGGTGAGGCCATTTAGAAAACAGTCTCCTCCTCTCGTGTTTGTCTTCTCTAGGGTCCTGGGAGCCCTGTATGTGTTTTCACCATCCACTGACCCAGGGTCCTCATGGAGACCTAGGGAGACCAGCAAAGACCCACGTCTCTCAGAAACTCTCTTCCTAACTGCCCCAGCTCAGGCAATTCTAGGTTTCAAGTCAGAAACCTCGAGTGGGACATGCATGGCTCTCTGTGTCTGGAAGCTGGGGCGGGATTCTGCATCTGCTTCCCCCTGGATAGTGGAGGTCTGAGTGATTAAGGAAGCCGTGCTGTGGGATAGAGAAATTAGTGCTGCCACGCATCCCCCCTCCCAGACTCCGAGAGCAAGAAAATCTGCCATAAGAACCGACACTGACAACTTAATCTCGAAATTTAAAGGTGCTGCCACTTTTGTAGATAGCCAGGATAAGAGTGATCTAGGAAACCCGAGTCGTGTTTATTCAGTGGAAGCCAATTGATTTATTTGACTGCGAAGAGGTACATGTTTCTCTGTGAAATTTATGGTGTGCTTTCGGCTGTTCCACTGGACCACATTTCCTGGGAAGGGGATGGTGCAAGATCTAAATAATGCAAAGGATATATTTTATGCAAAAAGTCGTAGTTGGGCTTCCCCCCCCCCACTCTTACATATGTCACCCCTTTGGCCTTAATATTTGTGCTCTCTCCTGGCCTTTCCCTTGATCAAACAGCAGCCTTAAATTAGAGCAATTAAGAGGCTCACTACAGATGCACTTGTCTCCTCTCAGAAAACTTCATTTGTTGGCCATCTTTGTTCTTATGGCTGTGACTCAACCGAGTGCTGAGGACTCACCTCCACCAAGGAGTGGGACAAATGGCCCACATGTTGTTGATGACCTCACGCTATGTTTAGTACATGAAACTAATAAGCGTGTTTGCCACCTTTTCCTAAAGGGCTCTGAGATTTAACGTTATAGGACATCAAGTTGGTTTTCATTTCTACTTAGAAACAGAACTTGTGTTTTTATTCATTTTATCTACTTTCATGTTGGAAAAGTTTCTATTTTTCTTCTGTTATTTTTGACAACGCATTTGAAAAGCATTGCATAACCTGGGGAAGTGTCTACTGCAAGACGTAGTTGGGGGCAGGTATTAAGGGGTATAAGAAATTAAAAGTTCAATAATCCTCAGAATAAATGTAACATAAGGATATTTTAATTTATATTAGTGGTAAATTGTCTTTAGTAAAGTAAATTAAAGACGAGTTATTTATGGATTTAAATATTTCAAATGGTCATTTACCCAAACATGATGAGGTAGAACATAAATCATTTCCAATAGAAGACTGTGAAGGGCATATTGGAGAAGGGTCAATAGTGTTTTCTCGAATGGCACCTGTTTCAGGATAAGCAAAGTGTAATGGCTTAATTATGTCCTGCTCTTCAGATTAACTAAAAAATACCTCCAGCTTCTCTTCCTGTGTTTTAACACACAGTTATTTTCCCCTGGGTGCTCGTGTGTCATGCTTGTTTATTGGCCAGGGCTGGGGAGATTGTGGATTTTTTTAAATGACCCCAGACCCAAGTTCTTAAGATGTGGGCAGAACCTGAGGAGCATTTGCTTTTTTAATAAGAAAGCCACAGTAGAAGCATTTGGAAACGCTCCTTGCAATGTTGTATTTTTTAAAAATTTATTACAGGTATGCTATTATAGTCACTGGATCTAGCCTCTGAGTTCTCCCTATTAGCTTATTCTTTGAGCTTCGCATCATAGGCTTGTCCCCAAACATCTGTATCTTTGGAGAAATCATAATGTCTGCTATAAACCGAGTCCAAGTCTAAGAATGATGTTTACGGAGACTGCACAGTGTTTCTCCTTGAGGTTTACACTTTTTTAGGTAAAAACTTCAAGTATTTAGCTGCATGCTAATGATCAGTAAGGCAGAGGCTAATTTTTCTTGTAAAACATTTTTGTACTTCAATATTAAGTGTGTGCACACGTTCATTCCTTGTCCAATGGGAAGTGGCTCTGAACCATGCCCCCGTCCTGGGACCATTCCGTCCGTCCCATCATCTATCACTTCTCTGCCTAGCATCTGTGTGAAGGTGTCTATCAGCCCATTGATCCATCCATCTAACCACCCACCCATCCATCCATCCATCCATCCACCCATCATTGTTATCTGACAGGAAATGGGACTCTGAACCATGCCGACTGCCAGGGATAACTTTAAGTGTCATAATCCAAACTTGTAATTAGTCCAGGCCCCACCAGACAAAACCAAAAACTATAGGAGTAGATCAGAGTCCCTGAGACTCCAGAACAGGCATTGATTCTTAAACTGTGACATTGAGATGAGAATGTAGGGGGCCCCAGTGAGGAGCTGGGGAATCTGGAGGAATTGGGTCAGTTGAGAGGTCAGGGGAGCCAGTGTTCTGGTACTGAAGCAACTCAGGGGCCCTGGGTGAGCTGGCCCACTGCCAGCCAGTCCCCCCACCCCCATGTGGGTTCTTCTGCATCTAGCCAGAGAGTCCAGGACGAGAATGAGGGCGGTTCTTCAGAGGAAGAGCTCTCCTCCAGGTCCAGCGGGCACACCCTTCGACTCTGCTACTCCTTCCCATCAGAATTTGTCTAAAATACGTTTACTGTGGCATGTCCATTTATCTTTTTCCTTATTTATTCATTAAATGCAACGTGTTGCTGGAGTAATGTACACTTTCATATTCAGGGATTAAGGCAAGGATTGTTCAGCACAGATCCTTAACACTTGCGATTGATAAGAAAGAGAATGAACATATAAATAAGAGGTGATTCCTAGGTGGAATGCTGTATTGACCAAAATCAATTAAAATGTATAATGTCAGTATTTTCAATGACAGGGAAGGTGATGCTTCATGGGGCAGTGGAAGCCTTCTGAGATGAGGTGGATCACAGAATCCTGGCTCTGGAGATTCTAATATGAATTTTTTTCGGCTTAAAGAAAAGCTAGCAAAAAATATACCTGCAGTCAAAAGTGGAAGCAAGTATGAGCATGTTAGATTTTTCATGGTTTCTATGTGGGGATGAATTGATGAAGTCAGGCTGATTCTTTCAATAAAAGAAAAGATTGTAATCAATGATGCCAAACTATGATTATAACCACAAGAAAATATGGAAAATGATTGTAACCTCCTAATTTGTAATAAGGAAACACACACACACACACACACACACACACACGACATTCAATTTAACAAAAAAGAAAAGAAATGTAAAAGCATAATATATAAAAAATTCAGTGTTAGACCCAGATCAAGCATCTTAAGGAATAAGTTTACTTATTAAAAGAAAAAAAGGATTCATTTTCTCTACAAAGCAAGCCCCAATTAGATGCTCACATATAAGAGCTATAGCTTGTATGGTAGAAGAGATTTCTCACCCACCCTAGGTTCACAGCCAAGACTCCTCCAACAAGAGACAGATCAACAGAGAAAAGCATACACATTTATTTAACATAAATTTTACATGACACATCAGCCCTCGGTAATGAAGGCTTGAAGGAAGAGGGGAAGGTGTGTTTTCACACTTCAGTGTGATGAGGCAGGAACAGTCGTGCGGAAGTACAACTGCACAAAAGCCGCGTGACCTGATGGTAAGGAACCTTGATGAGCCCAGCCAGGCCTGTCTGCTCCGATTCTTCTTGGTGTCTCTGTGTCTCTGAGGACAAAGCTGTCCTTTTCCTCTGGGTATGGGG